AGTCGATTTTGAGTTCATGCTCTTTGGAATATCTGGAACATGATCAGATTACAGGTTAAGAGCGGTAAATATTCACAATACACCCACGCTCCAAATATAGAAATTTCGCATGGATAGATCCAGAAGGAAAGGAGTTACGACTGTAAAGTGCGGCTGAATAACCATTTCACCAAAGACTTTTGAGCGCTACTGTATGTCGTACTATGAGCCGCAGTATTTGCTATCCTGATCGCAGGAAGATGAGAAAAACGATAAAAAATGCTGGAAGATGAAGAAAAAAGAGGACGGATATTCGTGAAGGGGATGATTCAGTATCCTATGAAAGCCTTTTCATACTGTGATACCTCGTCTGACGCAATGCAAAGTGAAACTACATAATTTTTCAATAGGACGAGCTTCTAAAGTGACGACTATGTACATTTTTTTGGAAAAGATTACCGTTTGAAATGAAAACAACTATTTTCCTTGGGTGATTTGCTATGTGCATAACATGGAACCCAAGAACTGTAGGTAGCTTTGTTCGAAGAAGTACTCACGTTTCGCATTCCAAAGAAGTTATTAATGTACAGCATATTTTGCCACCAGTATTTCTGACAAGCCTGAGCGGCGTTAGCGTCGAGGCTGTTGCGTGGCTTAGCCGCCATCCACGGTCCTTTCAGAAATGGAGACATTACAGTGTAAAATCCGATGAACATCATTATAGGAGGTGTAAGCCTGGATGAAAGCAAACGTTGAGTTCACCAACAAATCTATTGTAATGAATGGCTTGATATAGCCAAGGACTAACCTCAAATAGCGATGAACATAGAACATAATCCAAGTGAGTGGATTTTTCACAACTTTTGAAGGAGGCCTGACTTTGAAGAACAAGTAAGCCACGAGAATGCCAGAAAGTAGAAAAAATGTATCGACGGATAAGAACGCATTGGTGAAGGTAGTAGCAAGAAGTGGATTCCACAGAGAAAGCACCGGCAGTAAAGCGTCTGAATGAGAGCGTTCTGTCTGAATCAGAGAGAGTAAAAGCAATTAACCTACCGCTAGAGACATATGGTAATAGACTATGCCCTGCAGCAACCCATGTCATTGAGATAAACCGAATCGAAGCCAACGAACGAATAGTCCCTTCTTTTGGTTCACGTGTATCCAGAAGGGAATTTGCATTGGCGTAAAAAGAAAATGTCAAAAGGAGGCGAATCGCTGAAAGTATTGTATGTTGCAGAGTCCAACATTAACTGACAGGAATGGTTTGGAAGAGGGAGAATAAACTGAGAATAATAGGGACTAAATTCAAAGAAAGAGGGTTAACTGAAGGTGTCCTGGTCGGGCTCAAGAAACACCCATCATCATCCTATTTTGGTATAATAATTCAGTGAAGAGGGGCGGAGGAGTGTAATGGTAAGCTAAAAAGGAGTTGCTAGGTAAGAAAAATTGGAAAGGAACAAAAGCTGCCAGTACTAGACCCAAAACAGACCGGTTTAGCTTGGACATAGCGGTTCAATAAACACCGCACCTTTTCTGGTCGGTATAAAAGAACAAGAAGAGCATGGTGTAATGGTAAAAGGCGCACTATCACCGACGCACGGTCCGCGGTTCGAATCCCGGACCGATACTCGATGACCACCATGCGTTCAATTTCTTCGGGGCCAGATAATTCGTACCAGACATCTGAGAGGATGAAAGCACTGATTTGAACATCGGCCGACTACCTCAAGTCATTGCTTAGGGCACATTCAATACGCCACTACGATTCTGAATGGAAGTCGAATTTAGGGGAGTATCTCTCTGATGGGATTGACCAACGCCCAAAGACTTTATCCTTTACTCTTTTTTCAGTATAGGATTGTTTAAGGGGATGATCTGCATCTACACCAGCCGTCATGACCCCCAGATAGAAGCTCAGCGAAGCTCTTCTGACAAATCAATTGCAATTGTTACTTCATTTTTGAAATCTGTTCTTCTTACGTACGAAGTGAATTCAGTTTTTACACCGAGGAAATAGCTAGGGTCCCCTAACACTTGATCTAGAACTAAAACCAAGGTCAGGAATCAGACAGCCACTTGAGTGCAGGTAGCGTTAAAGAGCATTTCTAGGGTGTTTCAGTCCACTATGTGTGATATCTCGGGCCCTTAAAATAAAAAGCTCTTTAGTTCCTCTTATTTCTATCACCGCACCAGTTATTGGTTTTATTTTCTACAATTGTTATCATCACACCTGTTGTTTTTCTGATATTCTCAGATTGATAGTGTGCATCCAAAAAGTAGTCAATGATGCTCGCGAGAATAGCCCACGACACGAAGAACGCCATGAAAATCCTGAAATAGGTCCTGGCTAGTTTGTAAACAAACTCCAGAAATACTGAAATCCCTTCATTTCTCGTCACCAACATAAAAATCCAGAAAGCTGTCGTCGGTTGAACATTTGTTGGGACACAACTGGCAGAACGAAATTTTATTGGTAGTGTCTCCTCGTTTATGATAGTTTTTAGGAGCAAAGGAATGTCCTGAATGGAATTGTTGATAAAATTTACGAGAAGAGTGAAGGACAAAACCCCTCGAAAAGCATTCCATGAGGAAATGGAAAAATAATAAACAGGAAAAATAATAAACAAAGTCTATAGTTGGAAAATTGTAGCTGAAAAGACCTAACCTCTTCATTGCAACTCTTTGGCATGCAGACCGCTACGCTCACTCCCAACTGCCCAAGAAGCTTGTTAGTCTGCAAAGTTAGGAACATTTGTTAAGTTATTTTAGTGGAGTGAAATCCAAAAGAAAAGAGGAGCCAAACTGTTGAGGCTGCCAACAGTTAGGTTTCGATGTTACTCAGTTTTTGAAGGAATACATGGATTCTTGATGAGCAAACTTGCATTTTGCGTTTTTTACACTTCCATATTTTCGACAAATCCGCCGTTCTTAGTAGTTCAATCTATGTCGAGTGAAATTTGAAGAATAATTACTCTAAAATGAGCGCTGTCTGCCTTTCCTCTCCCTACCTCCCGCAAAGAACCGTTACAGTGTCGGCTTTAAGGCCTTTAGAGGCCCTCAGAAAAAAAGAAAAGGTCACCCTATCTCCCTTTTTGTCGTCATGCAAATTAATAAAAGAGCAGAAGCATAAGTTCTTTTAACATTGTTCATTCCCAACCCGTTGGAAGCACCACTTATCTGCTTTCTACTCCCATACGGAATCATGCCAGCGTTATGAATGCCTATGCTCCTACCCAACGACTTTCTGCGACTAGCCGATGTATAAGCCAGAACTTTTATTCGCCCACACAGTTCTAGCACCATTGAAACGGCCCGGAGGAATAGAAGACCTAATGGCCTAGACGGTTCTTAGACTATGCACGTTGTAGTGTGGGCCAATGAGCAGCACCACACCATTTAGGTATTATAAAACAACTAATCCTAGAGTAAATAAGGATCCTCTCTTTTTCTTCACTTATTAGTTTTGGGGAATAAGCACGATTTCGTCTATGATCTTTTCGAAGTTCGAGTTGACCGTAATCCCACTCACAAGATTTTTAACGGTGATACCAGCGTAACAGTAATGAGGCTCATACGGTGCAATCAAATCCCTGCATTCGGCATAGGAGCCTGAGCTGATTGTTGTGATCTCCATAATGCCGGCTGGGAGCTTACCGAACGAATCCAGCTCTGAAAGTGCACGTTGTTGACCACCTTGGTGATGACGTAATTGTTTTCGGAGCACCTTATCAGTTATCAACTAGGGATCAAGGATCATTAAGCATCTAAAAAAAGCAAACGATGCCAAATGGTTTAATGTTTATGGAATTCGTTCCCTGAATGGCAGCTCATCTAAGATTATTCATCACTGACAAATCAAAAAGAGCTGAGCTGACTTCAGCATAGCTTTTTTAATACGAGTGTTCTTGCCATAGAAATTATCACCACATCAAGTCAAATGATATTTAGCAAATTGACATGCCAACTAGGCAGAGTAATACTCTTATCTTGCGAATTCCTTCATTACTTTCTATACTCTTCTGATATTGCATCCGAAACTCTACGGAAAACAATGGGTTGAAATGTTGTGCGTGCTTTGAACTACGTGTACACCTTCGAAGACCAAGAAAACGTCGAAAAGATGGCTGAAGATAGAGCTCAGAACCAAGAAATTCCATGACAGAGCCATGAATACGCTGCATACTAATTGAGCAATTGTCGGAAAGGTAGGTATTCCGAACCCCAGGGAAAGACTTTCCAAATAGTCCAAGCTTTTTCAGCTTGAATTCGTCCAGCCATACAAATAGCTTCAGAAATTAATTAGTATTACGCTTTTGCCAATCTTGTAAATGAAGCTTTCAATCGTTGAGTTGAGAATCAACTCACTTATTTTTTTCATCCTGTTATTTTTTGTGATTCCGGATGACATGCCCTGTCACCCACAGAAATGGTGTGATTAATTTCAATGACCACAGACTGTTCTGAGTTGCCCGTTCTCTTATCTTTGTATCAGATAAGGGGACCTGAACCTAGATCGCTGAGGGGCAGAATCAATCGCGGGTCGCTGACTGTCCCCGGGCGCTATTACTAAGGGAAGACGGTCAGCAAACCTCCTCCGCACCGGAAATGCTGTAATAAATTGTTCGAGATAAGGACATAATAGAGCACCAGAATGAATTGATCAACTTTGTAAAATAAAAAACCCTGCTGAACTATTCCTCCCTCCGCTGCCATTAAGCACCCCAAAAATAACGAAAGGACTCGTTGACTGTATGAAAATTCCTTCTAGGGAAAGGTTGTTCTCATTTATTCACCTCACAGAATCACTTCTATTCTGAGGTGGAGTAAAAGGGCCCTTTTTCAAGTGCTCGAACTAAAGTAAATGGAGGTCGATCAGGAAAATATATTCACAAAAACGGTCAGGGAGATTGTTTTGAGAATCCCGAGGAATCCAGGTAATAGCATGAAAAATAGAAAATGGAATTCGAACGAGAAACGAGAATCCCTGCCTTAGTTTGGAACTTTTACGAAAGAAGTGCTGCATATGTTGCAGATCACATAAGATATATCGTACCTAGTGTGCGCCATGCATTCTACTCCAGTTCTTCAATTCCAACTTGTCCAAAAATGTGATTTAATTGGTACTTTCTCGAGCATTGCCAGTCATTTACTTTACGGTCTCAGGAACTGTGGCTTCGTGAAGAACAAATTAGTATAAAGTGGTTGTAGGTATTCTTCAAGAAATGGTATGATACGAATTTCTGCTGAAAATAGTCACTAGAAATGGATAGACTCACGTTTCACTGCAAACATATTATCATCGAGAATCTTTTTCTGTTCATCGTTGCATCCTTTTTGTTCAACACAAGACTTCACTGTTGTGGCAATTCTCGCAATGCTGGCACCAAAAATGGCCATGTCCGCCACACAGTGTGGTGTCACATTGGATAACGACAGTAGGTTGAAGTCGTTGAATTCGGACAGATACTGTAATCGTAGATATTCTTATGATTACTTTATTACATAGATGAGTGTTAGGGTGGTCTCTGCAATAATGATCAGGTGTGTAGTCAGGTAACATTGGTGAATGTAGAGGAATCATCATCAAGGAATCAATCATTTTGAGGGCAATTGAGCCTACGGGGAGTATATAAAGTCAAAACAATTTTTTGTAGCCCATCGAATTCGCTGCTGAACAACCGATTGAGTGGGCGGCGTGAGGTGATCCTTCACAGGGTTGCTCTGCCCTCTCTATTGCGCCCTTTCCTAATTTCATTCAAAGCGACTTAAGTAGATCCTATGCCTGCACAATCAAAATTTTAGACTTCCAACAGACGCTCACTGGATCCCACCCACGCGATCGTGAAACCTGGAGAATCTCACAAGCGAGTTGGAAGTTTTCAAAAAACAACTTTTTCTAGCAGAACGCTTAAATGAAGAGTTTCTGGTGCATGGAGTTCCGCACTCTCCCAACGTTTGGGAGAGTAAACTCTTCAGGCCTTTTTGTGCAGCCTTCTTTGAACACGCTAGGGTTTATTAAGGACAGTTGTGCCTGTGAAAAGATTTACCTTTGTGAAGTCGGAGGCGTTGACTGATTGTAAAACGAGAGCAAGGAATACAAATACGGTAGGCGGCATTTGAATGTGAAGTTAAATTATGTGACGATATTTATAGTGTACTGATAGGGTCGACGGAAGCGCTCGTGCCGTATGTGTCGTCTTCTTATCTATTTCGAGTTTATGTCAGCTTCACTTCGACCACACACTGCCTGGAATGATCCCAGACAAACTTCCTGTGTGCTTTGTAGCTGAAACTTTACCGTAAACAAGAGACGATTTGCTAATAATAGGCTTTTGTCAATCTTTGTACTTCATGCTTTATGCCGTGACCAATCTCCGCAGGAGGAAGTTGGGGAAAAAAGGGCGGAGGGGGCGAATGAAGAATTTTTCAACTTTATTTGACGAGGTTGGTCATGCGAATCATTATGATTTATCATACATGAAAGTGTTTTTCGCATTCAGAGCGCTTGAACACGTTGAGAAGGATTAAGTACAGGGGGAGTTACCGCGTTACCGACAACGATCCGATGTCAGATTTTTCCCATGACGATTTCAGTGTCGCTATATGAAGGCAAGCGCTCTCCCTTGAGTCGATGTTCAAAGTTTCAACATAAGATTCCATTGCGAACAGTGTAGCTTCTACAGAAACTTTAGAACATGGCTGCATCTAGGAGTGGTCATCTGTGCCACCAGTCTTTAAGTAGCTGTTGTGCCCGTTTTTCAACATTTCTACATGAACCATCGTATCCTCAAACCCTGCCCTCCTTTGAATAGTGGCACAGCACCTAAGCCGTTTAGAAAGTTTTGTTTATATATGATATAGACAAGAGTCTCGATGAGTCCACAACAGCGATTCTCATTCGGTTGTCCCACAGCAATGGACAGCAATACTGTGAAGATTCGAAAGAACTTTTACTATGTGCGACATGCTTCATCCCGTGTGTAATGAGTATGTCTACTCGGCAGGAAGCCAGGATGCTCTCATAGATGAAACAGAGGCTCATGCAATACGGAGGTCATATCGAAGAATATCCCATACTTGAACTGGATGCGCACAGTAGCTGTCTTGTCAAAAATAGTACGGGGCCCATATTCTTGCTAAGTTACGGCTCTGGAACCATTCGATTCTGCAAAACTATGGCCCATGCTTTAAGCATGTAAACAGTGGTGAGGAAGATTGAGTGATCCGTTCCTGAAGATCACCGTTCTTGAAGTAGTAGACAATTTGCATCAATCAAACATCCATTCACTCAGAAAAAGTGCGCATCGAAAGTATTGATGTCTGTCGTGCCTTCCGCTCCACTTCATAGGACGGCTGGTGCGCATCTCGGTCCCGCTGGGAGGGTACAGTATGCTGCAGGGAGCGAGAGAATGCCAGTGGCCATGGGAGGCGCGCGAATCACGCGTGACCCCATTGAGGCTCTTCGCGCACGCAGCATCATTTCAGTACCTTTCTGTTGAGATGGACCAAACAAATTTTTAGTAGTCCACGGCTTCACCATGAATTAGTCCAAATCTCTTTACTATTGCAAAAAAGCCCCTTCGAGATTGAGAATTCACCTCATAGGTCAACAATTTACTTGTCAAACGTTCAAAATAAGGATAATTTCAAATTTTTCGATCCTAGTGGACACCCCGTGGCCATGCATAGCCCCCTACTCTAGACGGCCTGTGTCATCATGCGACGACTACATCAAACATTAGTTGCCAGAGCCCGGTCGTCCCTCTCGTTCTTGCGCACACTCTTACCGCCAAAACCGCTGATCGCCTTCAGTGGATATCACAACACATCACTGTTGTTATCTGCTTGGGTGCTACTAACTGTCGACAACCTCACGCGAGGAGGATATTGAAGATTGGTTGACAGCTAAAGATGGGTCTAGACGCAGCAGTATCTCAAGAGGGTTGAGGCGATTAGGTGGCCCGACTTGTGTGTGAGCACGATCGCACCCGACCGCAGGTCAGTGTGGTTCCACGTATATATACTTGTTTATAATCAATTTCATGGTATTTGAAGTAGTCTTGGTTAGTAGCATTTGTTCACACATCTATGCCAATTTATTCACTTTTTCTCACACATTCTATCATATTATCTTATAAAGCCATACAATTCACATACGTGTGCTTAGTGTACAAATAGTGTAAAGGTCATCGTATATCTGTGGGTTGTCCTGTACGCAGGGACAAACCAGGAGACCGCAGGCATGGTGGAACGCGCGTCCAGCGCTTGAGGGAGCTCGGCGATGGACCAACAGTTCCTCAGCGTACTGTGGATTGTCCCGAGCATTAGCGAGCGGGCGAAGTTCCTCCGTCGCCCGTCGCACCGGACGGACGGCGCGACGAACAATAACTGAACTCTTTCAAGTTTTGGCCTCCGTAACCTCACTATCGGTAGACTTTACCCTGAGAGGCAATAACTTCTTATCAATATAGGTTATTGCCTCTCAAGGTAAAGTCTTCTTGCAACAAAAACAATCTCAGGTAAGGGTGTTCCTGTTGCTGGACAGCCACATCAAGAAATCGCCATCCAGCGCGTTGTTCGCCTATATGTAATGGAAGCTCCGTCCATAGTGTGAGTGCGTATCACCTTAGATTATGGATGATATTTATCCGTTCAGGACACCAAAAGCGATGCCCGCATCGCCTCAAATTATCTTTATGTGTAAGCTAATTTCATGCTTATATGAATCTATCAGCTTTGAAGTTATCATTGCTTCCATCAGGTTATATGAACATTTAACAGAGATCCTGAAGAGATCACTTTGCTTATTAACCCAAACTTGCAAGGTCGGATCCGTATATAAAGACAAGACATCATAGAAAAAGATGCATTCTATTAGGAAATGGTTGAACCTGAAACATGAGACACAGCGTTAGAAAGTAATGCACATGTTCATTTCGACCCATCTCCATTGTTAAAATCACATTTGATCCTGATTATCCAATGGGCATCTTTTATTAGAGGAACCTTCGCCGAAAGCCGAATCTTCTCGCCTTCTCATCTTGCCATGTGAATATTCAAGAGTATCAAGAAGTGTTTAATTTCCAGTTCTTGCTATTTGTGTGAGGGTCGTTGTGCAGAATGGATGGTTCGCAGCGAGACATTGTTGTGCCTCATGTCTTCTACGCAAGAATGACTTCATAGTAATAACGTTAGCGTGATGGAAGGCGTGCGTGTACCTCTGACTGTAACCCCACTGAAGGCAAATGAAGGTATTATTCGTTCGATACGTTCGCCTCAACAGCCGGCAGTATTACAGGATAGAGAGGTTGAAACGGCAATATTCTCTGCCTGCGAAGAAATTCATGAGTCATTTATTACCGGTCTCGTTCAACACATGCTGAATAGAAATTCAAACCGTTCAGGTACTCTGGTGAACCTACCAGTACTTGAATTTGTCTATGTTTCTAATTTCGCATCATGCCTTCCTACTTTTACAATGAATAACTTCTAAATCAACATATAATTCGTAGCAACAGCTGTTAAGTGGTCAATTACTCCAAGAGTATCGTACTCTATGATTTGAATGATTATGATACTATGACGTAATGGTTTGAAGTATTCTTCACCACAGGCATCTTGTTGTGTCCACATACTTTTGGTGCACCTACCTGCCACTCTCTTAGAAAGTTTACTTACCTCCTCGGGATCAAAAGCAGACATTTTGGATTTTACAAGCATCACGTTCAACCCTGCTCTGCGGTCCGCCTTTATACGTCTGGATGGGGAAGAGGATTAGGGAGCAATAAGAAACATGAAGGCTTGGTTAGAAAATCAGCAAAAGAAACCGTACAAATGTGAATCGTAAAAAATTCACCCTCAATTTTGCGTAGACGTGCGTCTTTTTTTGAAGTTCCTGTGAGTGATACATGAGGCGAGAAGTCTTTAAATAAAAGTCGTCATGAAATATTTCAGAGGCAAAAAAANAAAAAAACACACAAAGGCAACATTACAATGAGACACACTTGAGTGAGCAGAAAAAGGGAAAAGGGGTAGGGGTAGGGGTGTTCGAACCTGGGAAAATTCCAAAGCGAATCCTTTGTACAAAATTGATCAATATTCTAAGTAACCAAATATGAATTCTTACAATAAATATGATGGCATCACTAAACATAGCAACTTGTAGACATACGAAGGGATGTAAACAGATTCGCTTATTTGTCTCCTTAGGGAATTCTTCCATTACAAAATCACAAGCATTAATACAACATACATGATATGATAATAACGTAACAAGAGTATATTTATGGCACGCGGTACCTAAACTGTGAGCAGTTTGCTTGCCTTTAGGCCGAAATTTGATCGAGACTAATCACAACTTTGAATGTTAGCGACCGAGACCTCTGGAAGAAGTAGCACCCTCTGCGGAAACTTCCTCTTCTATAGGTGACCTAGCTGGCGCTGGAACGGCTTCACTCGATCGCGATTTACTTTTGGGAGTCATTCCTTCGAAGAGCATCTTATCCAACATCGCAATGGGTACTTCAAATAAACAACTCCATATAAATGCCCCCAAGTAGGAGAGTACGACAACTGGTATGATTCGGTGAACGTACTGAAATGAACATTTCTTAGTTCCTTCAAATGATCCCGATTCTGAGGATATTGACGGACCGTTTGCCAAATGGAGACATAATGAGTCGGTCGATCATCAAGGTTAAAGACGTATAGAATGACGTACGAGTGGACAATGTAGGCGCAATAAGAGAGCCGACCAAGAGGTTGCCATAATGGATGATCCATAAAAGCAGCGATAGGACCTGATTTATAGTGTTTTTATCGAGTGAAGTTTTCATTTCGGAATTCTCTACGGACGAAAATGTTTCGGTTATTGATTACGATATTATTTTCTTGTTGTCCATTTTTCTACATACACGCTCACACACTTCCTTTTGTAAACAGTTATTTGTTCTCCCAATAGTGAGACCATTTGACCCCTCAATTTCTAGGTTGAGCAAATTTGAATGCTCAATCCTTCATAGCAAGGATGAGGAGGCTTATAGGCTACGACGTCTTTTGCTCACTCATTCACCTACTCTTGATATTTGCGACTATACTCAGTTGTGCAGCGGCGTGAGCAAAACTTGAATAAATAGATCCAGTCTATTTCCTCTTTCCATTAAGTTTAGAACAATAAAAACTTGCTCTCATTAAAATTGCCAAACATGCTATCCGCAAGGTATGGTTGGCAAGAAAAGTGTGCAGCGAAAAAAAAGGCATTTTGAGTTCATCTCTAGAATATTCCTAATTGATCAAATATTAGGAATATAATTATTGGAGATACTAATAACCGTCTCTCTTCCATTGACGTAATTACCGATGATTTGTTCGGAATAGAGAGATTGGGCTCAAAGAAATCACTGAGTGCCATTTTCAGATCATATTAGATTACGAATTTCTTCAACAGAGTGATGCTTGAGAAGGCGGAGCATGTGGTAAAGAAAAGGGCAACGTTTCGAGAGTACCAGGGCGCGACTGGTGGATATTCCGGGACGAAACTAAGCAGGTGGGTTTTTGATGGGACTCTGAAGCAAAATTTCGACATGCGCCCCCGTTTTATGGATACCTTAGTCACGGTTTGAAGTCTCACAAAGCTAAGAGCGATGCCTGCCTTACTTGGGAGGCTAGTATCTCCTGTAGTAAGGTGGTTCAACCAGTTGATAACCGTTGATCGGGGGACAGGTCTTTCAGCGAATAGGTTATTTGAGTGGCTCAACTCCGTCTTCTCTAGGAGTGCTTAAATTAGTAGTAGATGGCCGGTATTGTCCAGTCATTGATGATGAAGTTGCGAAAGCCCATATGCGTGCTCTTGTTTACTCAAGTGATGGTAGCACGACGGCACAACCGAACGTCTTAGAGGCTTATCACCCTTGCTATTGTTCTCGTTTTTTTATGCAAAATTTTTAACGCTCCGCATTTTCTGTCGCAGAACGTTCTGCCAATCTGATAGCTACCAAGGAGTAAGATAAAGAGCTATTTCACTTAAATGAAGGTGGTGTAGAGGGGTGACGTACGTGCGGAAGAGAAGAATAAGAAGAGATAGAATGACAAGGGGGGAGAATGCATAGGAGATCTATGGAGTTGAGAAGAAATACCCCTCTTCTGGTGTACACACACACCAACTGGTGGGAAGATAACAGGGATAGTGCATTTTCTACCGCTGTATATGAACTATGGGCTCTATCAAGGGATAGAAGGGTGTTGGTGTCTGTCACAGCAAGGGTTTTGTGAAGAATACCTTTTTTGCCTTTTCCATTCTTGCCCTATTACACACTATTTTCACTACGTCTACGAAACTATTATGGGGTTTGTAGATCTGATGAAACCTTATTTTCTAGACAATAGTGACAACAGCTACCTCCCCATCCAAAGGTATTCGCAACAATCACCCACGACACTGCGAGCGACCACGCGATTCGTGCGAAGTTGTTGTAAGTACCACGAACGAACTTACTGAAATCATTTGCTGTGAGAAAAAATAGAAAATCTGAGATAAAGACGTGAGGAATCAGAATATACCGGAAGTTTTTATTTTACTCTTTGGAACAAGCCGTGTGGTTCCCGAAAAGTCGAAAAAGCCTTTTATAATGAATCAAAAGGGTTGCTCAACCCTATTAAGTTTTTCTGATGTTCGCATCTAAGTTTCAAGGAATATGCTGGAAATGCAGTAGTAGGGGCTTCAACTGTACCACTCTAACCCAAACACTTTTTGCCTAGACGGTATTGGCGGAGGAAAGACCGCCTCTAGCGTTACCCATAGGATTTATAGGATGTTTACAACTTGTTCTAGATGTTTACAACTTATTCTTCAAGACAGGATTGATAACGAGCCTCCACTCTTGATCTCCTTTTATGTAATCATGCGGTCCAAAGACGGATAGCAACGAAACGACGGTTGCAATTATCCACACAGCTACTATAATCACCTGAAATGAGGCTTATGAGTTTGTACCTATAATTTGTTTAAGACAATCCCCAAAACACTCTTCTATATTTAAAACGTATGACTTTGTTTTGATCATACCCGGTGGAGTCTCAATCTTCTGCCACGATTTCGAGCAAGAAAGTAGCCGACACCCAGTCCAATGAGATAAGGAGTACATCGTGTCCATGGCATCTCATAGTACTCGTTGAAAAACTCTCGTTCGTGTTTTCTGTAAAGTATTATGTTTGAAAACTTCAAACCACGGTGAAACCGACTATATGAACTTACGAGAATACATACGCTACGAGCTCCGAAGCCGGCAGATCATAGCGGTAGGTAATGACATACACGTAAGCAACACTTGCTACACAGCATAAGAACAGTAGTATAGCTCCTGAAGGGACCATCAACTTTAATAAACTATCGTTGCTCTGGATTGAGTAAAAGATCATGAGGTGTTTCGCTTGTTTCTGGTCTGTTAATTCCGCTTTTGTTTCTTCCCAGCTATAATGGAGATCCTACCTTCATGCATCTATGGAGGCTGTTTCTGTTGTTGCATTCTTGGCGAATGTTTACAATCATTTTCGATAAAAAGAACGTGCTGCACTACAGGCACTGCGAGATCGTCATTACTACGGTATGGTTCAGTAGACGGAACATTGAAGAATACCGCCGAGAGTTAGGGTCTTCAATACAACTTTTCAAAAAGAAAACGACTATCTGTTCATTCAAATTTGTCAGCATCTTGTTCTTCGCTATATCAAAACTTAGATACGTGTGAGCACAGCTGGTCATGACGCCTGCATGTTTGCACGCCCCCGTGCAACTCATAGGTACACAGTTGGGCAATATTCCATTTCATTTCCAAGCACTCGTTTGATTGTCGTTTTCATAAATTTCCGTTTTTCGACTTGATTGTTAGAAGTAAATCTTTTTGATGAATTGAACAGAACTTCGGTTTCCGACGGGATTCAAACCCGTACTTATGCTATCTGTGCATCGTGCTCTTCTTCCCTAACAGGGAATTAATCGATTATCATTCTTAAGAAATGTCTGAATGAAATGAAAGCAGCAATACCTACTATAGGTGATATGTGTAATGCGATCAGGAATACGGGAGCGGCCACATAGAGCTGCGTATCTACAGCTAGGTACCACGAGATTCCATAGCATTCCTGTAATACTCATTCATTTTTTACAGCATTTCGGATTCTGCTCGCATACGTTTTCTCTGAAAAAGGTGTTCTTCATGTTCTTCATGTTGTTTTGAAAATAAATGGCTTTAAACTGTTAGTTTTGCTCCTGCCTCGAGGTTGGTAGGTGAAAATATTTATGTATTCTGGCCAACGTTTCGACGGACTCGTCGTTTTCAAAGGCCTGCAAATGGGTCAAAGCTTGTTCATTGCACACTACCCCACCAAGCGCCTCTTTCGCCCTAGCGTTTCTGACGCTCTGTCAGGAATGCATGAAAAATGTCCAAGATCCAAAAGATAAGCTCACCTCACTTCCACCGCGAAGTGTAGCGCGACGCTACACGATTACTACATTAGCAGCGAATGATCTTACTTCGTGTCCTTATGCAATAATATTATTGCTGATCAGCACGTTCGCGGATTATGGAACTGTCTCGCAGCGTTGCATAAACGGCAAGAGATCATTTGTGATCGTCAGCAGTGGAGCAGTATGGTGGCAATGATCTTAACATCAAGTGTACGATATTGGCTCACGACACGGAAATATCGTCGAGGAAAGCGTTGGAGGCGTTCTGGATCCTCGCTAGAAATCCAGTTATGAACAACCGAAAGGAGTGTGCCTTAACAGTAAGCGTGCCAATACTGGTTCTTCAATTCTGCTCATGAAGCAGATCGCCAGTACGGGAGCTAATCGTTGACCCATGGCCAAACCTCTAATATGGGAATCGTAAGAAACTGACTACTTGAAGATGTTACAACCAAGACATTCCTCAATGAGAGTCAAAATTCTCAATACTCCTACCGTGCCTATCCAGCATTTCAGATAGTGCTTGTAAGGCTTGTTCATTTTGGACATTGATGTACGGCAAGGCAATGACTCTATTACGCAACTTGAAGCGAGGAGCAAGTTCCGACTTGTCCAAGGAATTGGTTCGTATTGGACAGGTGTAAGGGGGCCTTAGTCAACAGTTGACTCACAATACAGTTTAAAAACCACGATACTATCGGTTGGCTCACCTACGCAACTTATAATAGGTCTTATTTCAAAAGTGTCCGCGGACGTTGACAGTAACTCGTAAGTTTGTGGGTTTTCACCAAGCTGTGAAATACAGGACAACTTGGAGAATCGAGCCTGAGTTACAAGGGAACTTCTCATCAAGACCTGCAGGTTTACCTTCTGCCATCCAGATAAGTCTACTATCTATCATTCTGCCAGACCACACCACTGCTTCTCCGTCTTGCAACATCTGGGTCCAACGCCTTACAACACTTAACCCCTTATCTACCGAGGTTAAAGCTATAGCAAATGACGTTCAGGTTGATAAGTTGATAGCTCATAATACAGATAGGGATTGAGCCAAAAAACTCAAACGGCATGCCTTCGTGAGCAGGGAAGGTCTGCTTGAAAGTTGAACGGTGGTTGGCGTGCAATGTACAGGTCAGATATGGAGGCGCGAGGCATTCGCCAGGGACTAGCATCAAGCCGTAGCGAGCTCGAGTCTCCTATCCTCTGACTACGAAAGGGGATTAACGGGATCAATCACAAACAAAAAGTTGCCATATACCTGAACTAAGACGCAGGTGGATTTCAGAATGGACTCGCCCTGTTGTGCTGAGTCGATTTATACCAGTACTTCTACTACTTTTGCTCACAGAGGTATTCATGAAAGTTGGTGTGCGCTTCATATCGCGTTGAGGATGATCGATTTCAGGATACAGGAAGTTTTGAGAAGTCATTGAGCTGACTGGGACAAAAACCCATCGACAGTCTTTTTCAGTCTCAGAGCTGGCTGATTTCTGGTAGATATATTGGACTTTTTTCAGCTGCCCTTTCCTACAGCACATCTTTCGTAATGGAAAACCACCCACGTGTTCGTGTCCGAGAAGGTTGCTGATGTAAAGCGCATTTCTCCACCAGTACTTTTGGCAAACTTGCACTTTTTCGTCGGTGTGCACACCAAAATTCAAGGGATTAAAAGCTATCCACGGCCCAACCATAAATGGAAGAACCACTGTATAGAATCCTATGAACATCATTATTGGAGGCGTCAACCTGAAAGCAATAAATGATAGCCATACAACAACTATCACTGCTGGAAGATTCAAACAATGGAAAGAAGGCAAAACGTTCCCAAGGTGTGTCAATAGGGTGTTCATCTAACATCAGCAGTAATCAACTGACCTCAGATAACGATGGAGATAAAATAGCAGCCAGGTAATAGGATTCCACACAACCTTTGAAGGTCGCCTAGTTTTGAAGAATAAGTATGCTACAAGAATTCCTGAGAGGAGAAAGAAGGTATCCACAGAGAAGAAGGCATTCGTGAAGGCAGTCGAAAGAATAGGATTCCACATCGTGAGCGCAGGCAATAAACGGTCTGGAAGCGAGTTTTCATCTAGTAGTTTCGAAGAGAAATGAACTTGAATTACCGTTCATGGCACTCTGTGCTAGAATATGCCCTGCAGCCACCCACACCATGGAGATAAATCGGATGCAAGCCATCGAACGAATGGTTCCTTCTTTCGGTGGTTGTGTATCCAGAAGTAAAGGAGCATTCGTGTAGAACGAAAACGCCAGAAAAATCCGAATCACTTAAACAACTCTATTATTCGAGATAGTTTTATAAGGAAAAAATTTCGGAGAACATATGGTAAATTTGGAAGGTGCAGTGCTGCCCTTGCTTGGGCAACGTGATCTTGATTCTAGCAAGTTCTCTCTTTCAGTGTTTTGAAGCAGCATCTACACTTATTTCTGGTTAATGAGTTCATGTGGTGAAAGTTGACACTACACGACGATGTAAACTTCTGCTTCACCTCCTGGTTTTTCGTCTTCAAAACTAATTCATACATACTCATTCGAGGGACAAAGACCAGTCAACATTTATCATTGATTTTTGGGCGATATTGACTTGGATTGGATTGAATAGGGCGGAGGTGGTGTAGTGTAGTGGCAAGTGGCGCACTATCTCACACGCATCGTCCTGCTTCGAATCCCGGATCGATGCCCGCCTGGGCCAACCAAGCCCTCCATCCCTCCGGGGCCGGTTAATCGGTACCAGACTTGTCTGGGTGGATAAAAGCATTGACTTGTACATCGGCTGGCCACCGCAAGGCTTTGTATAGGCCACATACGCACTCATTACGCCACTAAGATTCTGAATGGAAGTCGTGTGCAGGGGCGCATCCCTCAGACGGGATTGATTAATGCCAAAAACTTTATTGACTTGGATTCATGACAACAGAACGGAAATTATATTTTACCGCAGCAGATCGGCTTTGTACGCCTCGGTTTCTTTTTGAGTATCATGTTAGGCTATTTCTCATGGCTTTGAACTTGAATCTCTAAAACCTCACTGACGTTTTCAACGAGCGCACGCATCTATCACACCGACAGTATTGATTCATTGCTATTTCTGGTTTAGCCGATAATCAAAGGCGATTCACAAACAAGTCTGGTACCAATCTATCATTTATGCCCTCTTGAACGTTTCTAATAGTAAAGATTATACCTTTGATTTTTCTGAATTCTCCAGTTTCGGGCTGTGTTTCCAAGTAATAGTCTGTCAGACTCGCGAGCACTGCCCACACCACAAAGAACGCCATGAGAATCCTTAGAAAAAACCAAGTTTGCGTTGTTAACAATCCAAAAGCCTTGAAAGTAGGTGGCTCACATAAACATCCAAAATCCGGTAGTTCCACTGACGCTTGTTGGAACACAACTAACGCCGTTGAATTTTAATGGCACAATCTCCTTGTTTATGACAGTTCTTAGAAGAGTAGTAATGTCCTAAAAACGCTATGTATCCACTAGAATTTGAAAGAAATTAAAACAAAAAGCAAGAGCATGTTTGCTGAACTCCTAAGTCAAACTTAGTCAAGTTGTCGGGTGATAGTTTTCGGAAAATTTTCAACTAAAACTATCGTCATAAATAACCAATATCACAAAATCTCACCTGCCCTGTGCATGCTGCCGGCATGCATACCCCAACACTTATAGCCGCCTGATCAAGAAGATCGACCGTCTTTATAGTCTGAAATATGGGATGATCTGGACAATGTAAAAGTCACTTCTTTCAATGTGATTCAATGTGTTCTTGTAGACTGAAACCTCTTCACAATTCTAATCCCCGTCTTCCCTCACCAGACACTTTTTGCAAGCCACCCATAAACATTCAACGACAGAATATTACTTACAAAATTTTGTAGCCCAACTTCGGCATAGCAATAATGTGTCTTGTACGGGCCAATCAAATCTCTGCATTGACGGTATGAACCTGAGCTGACCACTGGCACTTCCATGATTCCAGCTGGTAACTTTCCAAATGCGTCCAACTCTGAAAGCATTTTCTTCCAACTTCCCATTCAGCTCCCATCTAGTAAGGTAATATACTCAATGAGGCAATGGCATATTACCTCTAACAAAAAAAGTTTATTTATAGTTAGGGGAAATTTTTAGTCCATTTTGTAAACTTTAATGGATTTTATAATTTTTTAAAATAATCTCGCCCATTGCATGTTTTCCTCTTGTATGAATTTGGGTTTAATCCTGAGGGATTTCCTATTTTTATTCCCATTTTCATGTTGGCAAATGGGCCCTTCCAATACCTCAAAATCAACAAAAGCAGTTTGACACCTTATCAAGCACTATTACAATCCTTATTATGACAGGGTTTTAAATGTATACTTTGATAAGACTAGACAGCACCATCAGTTTAGAGTGTCTGATAAGGATGAATAATCAGCACGATCCCAAATTAAGTCCAGTTTTTCAGTGACAGAGTCCGGTTGAGCACCAATTAATTTTAACGACATAATGTGGTCCTCCCACGTTGTTGTACTTTTAAAAAGTCTATTGTCTAGTTAGGATTCTTTGTAGAATTCTGTTTGTTCCCAATCCTTTCTACGATGGTCCTTTATTTTCCTTTACTTCATGTGCTTATGCCATCTTCTTTGATAATTGAAATAAATAAAGAAATTAATAAATTAATAGTCGCAGCCATAGAACTGTGCTTTCCTCTCTTTTACTGGGGTTCTTTTCACATAAATTTTGAAAAATCTCTACGATACCTTCGAGATCATCAAGTTGAAGCATGGACCACCATGATTCCACCGCTCAAGTGGGTAAAATCCACTGGCGTCGTTGGCGACTCTCAGTAGCGAATGAGACTTCTTGGTGTCTCTCTTGTACTGATGATAAGGAAGGTCACGTTGTAATGCTAACAGTATATATGGTAAGAATCATTAGTTTTGAGCGGACACTCATCTCTACCTTGCGTGCGGACACTCATCTCTACCTTGCGTTTTAGAACTTTTTTTTTCTGTAAATCCAGAACATCTCAATGCATTCTTCCCCCAATTCTCCGTCTCCTTCGCCAATATCATGCGTTTTATTCCTAAATTATTGCCAATGTGCTCCTCAATTTAATGTCTACCTATCACCAGACTGCCGTGCCTCATAGTAACTGGTATTTCAATTTCGTATAGCCAATAGTTGTCTTCCCATTTCTTCGATATTTGTTGGTCTTTATTTGCTCCACTTCATTTGGTAGGATCCGCCTGTCAGAATGTAATCAATCATACGCATTTCAAAATAAGATGCACAACTTTGGCCCAGGAGACGGGGGACTTTCCTAGAGAGGCAATGGAGGTGTTCTGAGTTTCCTGAAGAAGTTCTGAAAGGAATGGCAGAGACGAGGGTCCGTCAATAACCAACGATTTTTTGTCGTATACACCGCACTGCAAGTTGTGACTCAGTGGCACTATAACGTGATTTTCCTTATCATAAGTATTAGGTAGACAGCAAGAATTCGCATTCGCTACATACAATCGGATTTTTGATGACAGCGGATTTTATCCACTTGAGCGATGAGACCTCGGTGATTCATGCATTGATTTGTGTGTTTCAGATTCGTCTCTTTTGTAGGAGGAGTTAAGACACTACATGGATTCTGTGCAAAGAATCTCTAGTTGCATTCAGGCTTATGAAGAAGACGATTGCTTCAAAGCGTTAGACGGTTGCATTAGTGATTTGTTTCACCTAAAAACCTCGCACGGCGCAAGAATATTGCAATAACAAAACACTATGCCGAGCTTGAAGCAAGAGAAGCTTGTCTCCGAGGAAAAGTGAACGGCGATCTAGTTCAAAAATGATGGCAATGAAACAATCATGCAGAAGCATCTATTATTTATTGTCCCAAAACTGTATTTCGGTTTACCTCAAATATCTTTAACTATCCAAATTTATGGATTACAGACTGCGCGCGACAGATGTCAACTCTTATACATCAGCACAGTCTCGCTAGCTTTCCAGGACGGGACACTTTGCATTCCGATACCACCTGCGAGAAGAGCACGTCACATTAATTGCGTGAAAAGCACGTGGAGAGTGTTTCACAATGACTGGCGAAATCTTTTTAGATATACTGTTTTGACCATATCGGGAATATTGCCACACAAATATTCATCGAAGTGATAGGATGTCAGATTTCGAGATGGAGAGAACCTACTCGTACCGCCTAAGGTGATAAGTAGGCAAGAAGGTTGTAGAAGAGATCCGCGAAGAAGTCTTGAATGATCTCTTCCTGCCCCTCCAGCAGTAGTAAATGTTTCGCCAGGACGGTCAAAAGTATCAAAAGTGAACCTGTAGTTGGCAGAAGCTCATCAAAGTATGAGCGGCCTCGTCTAGAAATGACATGACAGGATAGGCGAAGTGATCCTATTGATGATGGCCTTCTAGCTTCGTCCTCAAAACTCTACAGCTCTCTCACCTCAAGTTGAAAAACGGTACATGGTAAAGAGGACACGATATTTCGATCTAATGTGGAAATTCGGAATAACACCGACACTCAGGCAAATCTTTCTATCGAAGAAGTTATGATCTATTTCATTATGGAGTTGCCTGCAAGGTAACTCCCAAATCCACCACCAGTAAAAGAGCATTTGGGCGTATTCTGCACAATACATTCCGCTTCGGGTGTCCCTACGTTTGCTCCTAACTCGTTTAGCTCAGGATTGATCCACATCTTCTCAATGCCCTGCTTAACAGCTTAGAAAGCTTAGCAGCCCGAGTGTCCTGTTCGGGTTGTCAAGCTTCCGTACGAAACGATGTTCATGGCTGAGTGCATAGTGTGGTGAACGAGTACACCACCGATTTCTCTGCTCTCGTATCCAAAGAACAGATCTCGTCCAGCGGCGTGAAATAATTCTTTTTTTGTCTCAGGCAGTCCGGTTACAAATGCTTAGTCTTCATAATTTGCATAATTAGATGCTCGATACATATTTCCGATGCAAGGGCCAGAAAGGAAGTCCATATACCAATATCTCCTACTACTTTCCCTTCTGAACAGCCCGCCATGGGTTCGAGACTTCGCAGTCGTGAGCAGCGTGCCAGATTTTGATGTGGGGGTTGGGCAAAAAATGAGTAGCTATAATGCTGACTGAGATCGTCCAATCGACGAATAATCTATGGTAATTAACGAAATTTTCGCAAAAGTCGCTCTTGCAGGATAGGCAGAATACAGGATGAATGACAGGTTCCGATGAGGGTTCGTTACAGTACATATCATCTCGCCCAAACTTCTCTGTGCTGTT